TTTATTTGATTGGATCCACTAGGTTGGTGACTATCACTTATGTTGCGCACCTCCATTTATGAAATTATATTTCATCCGAGAGTAGTTGTTTTTAATATAATTCCTCCAAACATGGGTTTGGACTTGATAAGTAATTTGCTAACACTTGAGTAAACTCCCCCACATTTAAGGTATTTGCTAGAAGATCTCCAACTTTTTAGTACCTCAAAATTTCAATCATAAGATATAATCGTTATCTCTTTCTAGAAGCAAATTAATTTTATATTCTTTTTAAGTATATTCCATTTCTCAAAATACCTAAGCCACCCCCACAATTCCGTTACATTGTGGTTGCTTTTCTTTGCCATCAATAATCCATTCATCATGCTTAAAGAAATAGAAAATTGTAGATAAATTTCTCTCATCCGTCTTCGTAGGCCATTAAGCCTCACTAGCCCTTCTAAGGAGACGTTGGCTACTTATTTTCCTTAGCCCTATGAACTTACCGAGTCACTTGTTTCCTTAATGAGGCTTCTAATTATTTGATCAAACATGATCTAAGGTTTCTTCCCTTTGTGGGAATACTTCTTTTGCCGTCACATATGTTTGCAAATGATATTGCCACATCGGAATATCAACTCCAGGCGCAAACCAATGATCAATCCAAGTCTCTACTTCTTAACTATCCTAAAATTAAAGGATTTAAAGCACAGAATTGAGAAAGTGAAGAATCCTGAGTCTCAAGGAAGGAGATGAAAAGATAAGCTTAGAATATTCAATCTTTTATTAACCGCCTAAACCTATTACATCAGCTATATATAGTTGCAAAATGTTAGCTTCCTAGCTACGCTATTACAAAGCTTACACTCTAAGCAAACAATACACAAATGACAAGTGTTCGAATATACAATTGACAAGTGGGAGTACCTAACTAATATTAACATTTCTGTCATTACCCCTCTCCCCCCGCAAGCTGAGCTTGGGGACCAAAGATTAAGATTCGAGCTTAATCGAACATAGTCTGGACTGAAAACCTTTGGTGAAGAGGTCTGCAGGTTGTTCCTTTGTTGAATATTAATCAAGACGATCTCTCGAAATTTCAAAAATAGAATTAATAGTCTTTCCCATTCCTTTTTTTCATCTCCTAAGCATGAAACTCGGTTCTAAATGACGCTCGCCACAAATAAGCAGTTAAAAATACGCAACAAAGAATTATGAAGAAAAAAAAAAAAAAAAAAAAAAGAGGTGGGGGGATGCAACACGAGGACTTCCCAGGAGGTCACACATCCTAGTACTACTCTCGCCCAAACTCGCTTAACTTCGGAGTTTTGATGGGATCCGGTGCATATGAGTTGGTATGATCGCATCCGTTAGTCTATGACTTGTAATTGTACATAATCGTTTCTTTGGCCATGACCTCATAACCTTTATGCATGTGCAAATCACATCGGCTCCGAACGTTTGCACGAAATTCAAAAATATTAATCAAGATCATCATTCGAACTTGAAAAAAAAAATTGAATTAATTCTATTTCTCATCTATTTCTTTCATCTCCCAATGAATATTAATCATGATGATCCCTCGGAATTCCAAAAATAGAATTAATAGTCTTTCCCATTCCTTTCTTTCATCTTCTAAGCACGAGACTTGGTTTTGAACGGCGTGCGCCACAAATAAGCAACTAACAAAGAATTATTAAGGAAAAAAAAGAGCCGGGGGGATGTAACACGAGGACTTCCCAGAAAGTCACCTATCCTTGTACTACTCTCGCCCAAACCCGCTTAACTTTGGAGTTCTAATGGGATTCGATGCATGTGAGTTGGTATGATTTCAGCCGTTAGTCTATGACTTGTAATTGTACATAATTGTTTCTTTGGCCATGACCCCGTAACCTTTATGCATGTGCAAATCACATCGGCTCTGAACGTTCGCACGAAATTCAAAAATATTAATCAACACCATCCTCAGAAATTAAAAAAAAACAATTGAATTAATTGTCTTTCTCATCTATTTCTTTCATCTCCCAAGGAATATTAATCAAGATCATCCCTTGGAATTCCAAAAATAGAATTAATAGTCTTTCCCATTCCTTTCTTTCATCTCCTAAGCATGATACTCGGTTCTGAACGACGCACGCCCCAAATAAGCAACTAAGAATACGCAACAAAGAATTATGAGGGGGGAAAAAAAAAAAAGAGCCGGGGGAATGCAGCACAAGGACTTCCCAGGAGGTCACCTATCCTTGTACTACTCTCGCCCAAACCTACTTAATTTCGAAGTTCTAATGGGATCCAGTGCATGTGAGTTGGTATGATCGCATCCCTTAGTCTATGACTTGTAATTGTACATAATCGTTTCTTTGGCCATTACCCTGTAACCTTTATGCATGTGCAAATCACATCAGCTCTGAACATTCGCACGAAATTCAAAAATATTAATCAAGACCATCCTTCGAAATTAAACAAAAAAAAATTGAATTAATTTTCTTTCTCATCTATTTCTATCATCTCCCAAGGAATATTAATCAAGATGATCCCTTGGAATTCCAAAAATAGAATTAATTGTCTTTCCCATTCCTTTCTTTCATCTCCTAAGTGATGTGAGAATTATACGCACACAAATTAAACCCTCTTTTTATCAATTGTAGTGAAGAATGTAAATAGGGATCGTTCTTAACTGGGGATTAGGAGGGATTGCAAAATCACTTGGAAACTGACTCAAAAACGTAAAATAAAGTTTAAAACACTAAACTAGACTCAAAGAATGCAAAACTAAACACTTAAAACACTAAAACAAACCAAAAGACTCAAACAGCACCCAAAACACTCAAAACAGCCTTAAAAACACTTTCTGGGCAGTTTTGAGCACTTTGACTACTTTGGACGAAATTGGGTAATAAAATGAATCAAAACACTTAAAAACACAAACTAAGACACTTTCTAACTAAGTTGGACACTAAAGCAAAGGGGGATTGAGTTTTTGACGAAATTAAATAAAATGCACAGAATGTAATTCAAACAGATTGTAAAGATGAATTTGATGAAAATATGGATGAAATGCTAGCTAGAGGGTTCTTCTCCACACATGTCACACTTGCACACAAAACGATTTCTAATTGTTTTTCAATAAACCATGAATTCTCAACGCCCCAGATTAACCGTGAATTGCACTAATTAACCCTCAGATTTTCCTAACGTTATTGAATTGGATGATTGCATACGACAACCCAAAACATTCCCCACAAGTCCCCTACATGATTGCATAATAGAGATACAAGCAAGAATCATTAAGTTCTATGAAAACCATAAGCGTTGACGAAACACTTGTTACTATGATTGCATGAAACTTATGCCAAGAATTTACTTAACGCGATTGAGATCATCAACCTTTACTACTTGTGAATATAATTCCATAACGATTAGGTGAAATTTCCTTATATCCTAGCATCCAATTTATGCATGATAATTAAGCGTGCACTCTCAACCAACACACACAAATCAATTTAATTCACATAGATAAGTAAATTGAATTCACAACTTATGAAACGCAATTGGAAGTAATCAAATCATATTGCAAGCATAAACATGTATTTCGAATCCCCCCCTAGCCAAGGGGGGGTTTAGTTCCTCATACGCACAAAACAAAGAGAATTGAAATTAAACATTGAAATCAAGGAAAAGAAACACCTAAAAATTCCAACAACTCAAACTTGAATTGTATGAACGTTTAGGCCCTTCTCCTCCTCTTTGTTGCGGCACAAGGTCTAAGGATAGGTTTTGGGGGTTATGAATGGTGTAGAATGATGTGTTTAGGATAGGGATGGATGTAGGGGACTTCAAGGCTTATTTTTGGGCAAAAAATATGAAGAATGGTGAAGTATGGATGTGTTATAGAGAGGGGATGAATTTCTGGCGTGAATGGTGAATGAATAAATGGTTCTTTTGTGGCTGCAATGGATGTTTATTTATAGGTGGATGAATGATTAAAGAGGGAATATGACAGCTAGGTTGGTTGGTGGCTGCCATCATGAAGAGTGCATGGATGTGGCTGAATGGGTTAAAGAGGGAATGATGATGGGAGAGCATGTGGGTGACAGCTAGGTTGGTTGGTGGCTGCAATGGAGGTGTGGAATGATGATGGGAGAGCATGTGAGTGAATTATGAAGAGTGAATGCATGTAGGGTGCTGCTATGGTGGGAAATATTGGGCAGAAAATATCCTAAGGCTTTATTACTTAGTTTAGGAAATGATGTAACTCCAAATCCTCCTTTAGGTCTTCAATTTCGTCCATTCCTTTTGCTCCAAGCATATGCTATCCATTCCAAGCACAATTTTGCTCCAAAATGCTCCAAATGCATCATTTTGCATACTTTGCCCTTAAATCCTGAAAATACATAAAACTAGCTTAAAAGACTACTTTACTAAGGAAAAACACTTTAAATGCACAAGACAAGCTAAACTAAGGTGCATAAATATGCTCCTATCACTAAGCACGAACTCGGTTTTGAACGACGCACGACAAAAATAAGCAACTAAAAATACGCAACAAAGAATTATGAAGAAAAAGAAAAAAAAAAAAAAAAAAAAGCCGGGGGGATGCAACACAAGGATGTCCCAGGAGGTCACCCATCCGATGCATGTGAGTTGGTATGGTCGCATCCGGTAGTCTATGACTTGTAATTGTCCATAATCGTTTCTTTGGCCATGACCCCATAACCTTTATGCATGTGCAAATCACATCAGCTCCGAACGTTCACATGAAATTCAAAAATATTAATCAACACCATCCTTCGGAATTTAAAAAAAAATGGAATTGATTGTCTTTCTTATTGATTTCTTTCATCTCCGAAGGAATATTAATCAAGATGATCCCACAGAATTCCAAAAATAGAATTAATAGTCTTTCTCATTCCTTTTTATCATCTCCTAAGCACGAGACTCGGTTCTGAACAACCCGCGGCACAAATAAGCAACTAAAAATACCCAACAAATAATTATGAAGGAAAAAAAAAAGAGCGAGTGGGATGCAACATGAGGACTTCCCAAGAGATCACCCATCCTAGTACTACTCTCGTCCAAACTCGCTTAACTTCGAAGTTCTTATGGGATCTAGTGCAAGGGAGTCGGTATGATCGCATCCATTAGTCTATGACTTATAATTGTACATAATCGTTTCTTTGGCCATGACCCCGTAACCTTTATGCATGTGCCAATCACATCGGCTCCGAACGTTCGCACGAAATTCAAAAATATTGATCAAGACAATCCCTCGAAATTAAAAAAAAAATGAATTAAATGATTTTCGCATCTATTTCTTTCATCTCACAAGGAATATTAATCAAGACGATCAGTCGGAATTCGAAAAATAGAATTAATAGTCTTTCCCATTCTTTTCTTTCATCTCCTAAGGACGACACTCGGTTCTGAACAACGCGCGCCACAAATAAGCAATTAAAATACACAACAAAGAATTATTAAAAAAAAAAAAAAAAAAAAGAGGCGGGGGGGATGCAACACGAGGACTTCCCAGGAGGTCACCCATCCTAGTACTACTCTCGCTCAAACTTGCTTAACTTCGGAGTTTTGATGGGACCTGGTGCATGTGAGTTGGTATGATCGAATCAGTTAGTTTATGACTTGTAATTGTACATAATCGTTTCTTTGGCCATGACCCCGTAACCTTTATACATGTTCAAATCACATCGACTCCGAACGTTCGCACGAAATTCAAAAATACCAATCAAGGCCATCCTTCAAAATAAAATAAAAAATTGAATTAATTTTCTTTCTTATCTATTTTTTTCATCTCCCAAGGAATATTAATCAATATGATCCCTCGGAATTCGAAAAATAGAATTAATAGTGTTTCCCATTCCTTACTTTCGTCTCCTAAGCACGAGGGTTCTGAACGACGCGCGCCACAAATACGCAACTAAAACTACACAACAAAGAATTATGAAGGAAAAAAAAAAAAAAAAAAGAGCCGGGGGGATGCAACATGAGGACTTCCCAGGAGGTCACTTATCCGAGTACTACTACTCTTGCCCAAACTCACTTAACTTCGGAGTTCTGATGGGATCCGATGCATGCGAGTTGGTATGATCACATCCATTAGTCTATGACTTGTAATTGCACATGATCGTTTCTTTGGCCACGACCCCGTAACCTTTATGCATGTGCAAATCACATCGGCTCCGAACGTTCGCACGAAATTCAAAAATATTAATCAAGGCCATCCTTCGAAATTAAAAAAAATAAAAATTGAATTAATTGTCTTTTGCATCTATTTCTTTCATCTCCCAAGGAATATTAATCAAGATGATCCCTCGGAATTCCAAAAATAGGATTAATAGTCTTTCCCATTGCTTTCTTTCATCTCCTAAGCACGAGACTCGGTTCGGAACGACACGTGCCACAAACAATTAACTAAAAATACGCACCAAAGAATTATGAAGAAAAAAAAAAGCTAGGGGGGATGCACCACGGGGACTTCCTAGAAGGTCACTCATCCTAGTACTACTCTCGCCCAAACTCGACTAACTTCGGAGTTCTGATGGGATCTGGTGCATGTGAGTTGGTATGATCGCATCCCTTAGTCTATGACTTGTAATTGTACATAATCGTTTCTTTGGCCATTACCCTGTAACCTTTATGCATGTGCAAATCACATCGGCTCTGAACATTTGCACGAAATTCAAAAATATTAATCAAGACCATCCTTCGAAATTAAACAAAAAAAAATTGAATTAATTTTCTTTCTCATCTATTTCTATCATCTCCCAAGGAATATTAATCAAGATGATCCCTTGGAATTCCAAAAATAGAATTAATTGTCTTTCCCATTCCTTTCTTTCATCTCCTAATCACGAACTCGGTTTTGAACGACGCACGACAAAAATAAGCAACTAAAAATACGCAACAAAGAATTATGAAGAAAAAGAAAAAAAAAAAGCCGGGGGAATGCAACACAAGGACGTCCCAGGAGGTCACCCATCCGATGCATGTGAGTTGGTATGATCGCATCTGGTAGTCTATGACTTGTAATTGTTCATAATCGTTTCTTTGGCCATGACCCCGTAACCTTTATGCATGTGCAAATCACATCGACTCCGAACGTTCACACGAAATTCAAAAATATTAATCAACACCATCCTTCGGAATTTAAAAAAAAAATGGAATTGATTGTCTTTCTTATTGATTTCTTTCATCTCCCAAGGAATATTAATCAAGATGATCCCACAGAATTCCAAAAATAGAATTAATAGTCTTTCCCATTCCTTTCTGTCATCTCCTAAGCACGAGACTCGGTTCTGAACAACACGCGGCACAAATAAGCAACTAAAAATACGCAACAAATAATTATGAAGGAAAAAAAAAAAAAGAGCCGGTGGGATGCAACATGAGGACTTCCCAAGAGATCACCCATCCTAGTACTACTCTCGTCCAAACTCGCTTAACTTCGATGTTCTTATGGGATCTAGTGCAAGGGAGTCGGTATGATCGCATCCATTAGTCTATGACTTGTAATTGTACATAATCGTTTCTTTGGCCATGACCCCGTAACCTTTATGCATGTGCAAATCACATCGGCTCCGAACGTTCGCACGAAATTCAAAAATATTGATCAAGACAATCCCTCGAAATTAAAAAAAAATTGAATTAAATGATTTTCGCATCTATTTCTTTCATCTCACAAGGAATATTAATCAAGACGATCAGTCGGAATTCGAAAAATAGAATTAATAGTCTTTCCCATTCTTTTCTTTCATCTCCTAAGGACGACACTCGGTTCTGAACAACGCGCACCACAAATAAGCAACAAAAAATACACAACAAAGAATTATTAAAAAAAAAAAAAAAAAAAAAAAGAGGCGGGGGGATGCAACACGAGGACTTCCCAGGAGGTCACCCATCCTAGTACTACTCTCGCCCAAACTTGCTTAACTTCGGAGTTTTGATGGGACCTGGTGCATGTGAGTTGGTATGATCGAATCAGTTAGTTTATGACTTGTAATTGTACATAATCGTTTCTTTGGCCATGACCCCGTAACCTTTATACATGTTCAAATCACATCGGCTCCGAACGTTCGCACGAAATTCAAAAATACTAATCAAGGCCATCCTTCAAAATAAAATAAAAATTGAATTAATTTTCTTTCTTATCTATTTTTTTCATCTCCCAAGGAATATTAATCAATACGATCCCTCGGAATTCGAAAAATAGAATTAATAGTGTTTCCCATTCCTTACTTTCGTCTCCTAAGCACGAGGGTTCTGAATGACGCGCGCCACAAATACGCAACTAAAAATACACAACAAAGAATTATGAAGGAAAAAAAAAAAAAAAAAGAGCCGGGGGGATGCAACATGAGGACTTCCCAGGAGGTCACTTATCCGAGTACTACTCTTGCCCAAACTCACTTAACTTCGGAGTTCTGATGGGATCCGATGCAGGCGAGTTGGTATGATCACATCCATTAGTCTATGACTTGTAATTGTACATGATCGTTTCTTTGGCCACGACCCCGTAACCTTTATGCATGTGCAAATCACATCGGCTCCGAACGTTCGCACGAAATTCAAAAATATTAATCAAGGCCATCCTTCGAAATTAAAAAATAAAAATTGAATTAATTGTCTTTTGCATCTATTTCTTTCATCTCCCAAGGAATATTAATCAAGATGATCCCTCGGAATTCCAAAAATAGGATTAATAGTCTTTCCCATTGCTTTCTTTCATCTCCTAAGCACGAGACTCAGTTCGGAACGACACACGCCACAAACAAGCAACTAAAAATACGCACCAAAGAATTATGAAGAAAAAAAAAAAAGAGCCAGGGGGGATGCACCACGGGGACTTCCTAGAAGGTCACTCATCCTAGTACTACTCTCGCCCAAACTCGACTAACTTCGGAGTTCTGATGGGATCCAGTACATGTGAGTTGGTATGATCGCATCCGTTATTCTATGACTTGTAATTGTACATAATCGTTTCTTTGGCCATGACCCCGCAACCTTTATGCATGTGCAAATCACATCGGCTGCGAACGTTCACACGAAATTCAAAAGTATTAATCAAGACCATCCTTCGGAATTAAAAAAAATAAATGGAATTAATTGTCTTTCTCATCTATTTCTTTCATCTCCCAAGGAATATTAATAAAGATGATCCCACGGAATTCCAAAAATAGAATTAATAGTCTTTCCCATTCCTTTCTATCAACTCCTAAGAAAGAGACTTGGTTCTGAACGACACGCGGCACAAATAAGCAATTAAAAATACGCAACAAAGAATTATGAAGGAAAAAAAAAACAAAGAAGCCGGTGGGATGCAACATGAGGACTTCCAAAGAGGTCACCCATCCTAGTACTACTCTCGCTCAAACTCGCTTAACTTCGGAGTTCTTATAGGATCCGGTGCATGTGAGTTGGTATGATCGCAATTGTTAGTCTATGACTTGTAATTGTACATAATCGTTTCTTTGGCCATGACCCTGTAACCTTTATGCAAGTGGAAATCACATCGGCTCTGAACGTTCACACAAAATTCAAAAATATTAATCAACACCATCCTTCGAAATTAAAAACAAAAATTGAATTAATTGTCTTTCGCATCTATTTCTTCATCTCCCAAGGAATATTAATCAAGATGATCCCTTGGAATTCCAAAAATAGAATTAATAGTCTTTCCCATTCCTTTCTTTCATCTCCTAAGCACAAGACTTGGTTCTGAACAACGCGCGCCACAAATAAGCAACTAAAAAGACGCAACAAAGAATTTGGTGGGAAAAAAAAAATGGAGCCAAGGGGAAGCAACACAAGGACTTCTTAGTAGGTCACCCATCCTAGTACTACTCTTACCCAAACTCGCTTAACTTCAGAGTTCTGATGAAATCCGGTGCATGTGAGTTCGTATGATCACATCCGCTAGTCTATGACTTGTAATTGTACATAATTGTTTCTTTGGCCATGACTCCGTACCCTTTACACATGTGCATATCACATCAGCTCCGAACGTTCGCACGAAATTCAAAAATATTAATCAAGACCATCCTTCGAAATTAAAAAAAAAAATTGAATTAATTGTCTAGTGCATCTATTTCTTTCATCTCCCAAGGAATATTAATTAAGATGATCTCTCGGAATTCCAAAAATAGAATTAATAGTCTTTCCCATTGCTTTTTTTCATCTCCTAAGCACAAGACTCGGTTCGGAACGACGCGCGCCACAAATAAGCAACTAAAAATACGCACCAAAGAATTATGAAGAGAAAAAAAAGAACAAAAGAGCCGGGGGGATGCAACACGAGGACTTCCTAGGAGGTCACTCATCCTAATACTACTCTCGCCCAAACTTGACTAACTTAGGAGTTCTGATGGGATCCGGTGCATGTGAGTTGGTATGATCGCATCCGTTAGTCTATGACTTGTAATTGTACATAATCGTTTCTTTGGCCATGACCCCGCAACCTTTATGCATGTGCAAATCACATCGGCTCCGAATGTTCACACGAAATTGAAAAGTATTAATCAGGACCATCCTTCGGAATTAAAAAAAAAATGGAATTAATTGTCTTTCTCATCTATATCTTTCATCTCCCAAGGAATATTAATCAAGATAATCCCACGGAATTCCAAAAATAGAATTAATAGTCTTTCCCATTCATTTTTGTCATCTCTTAAGAACGAGACTCGGTTTTGAACGACGCGCGGCACAAATAAGCAATTAAAAATACGCAACAAAGAATTATGAAGGAAAAAAACAAAAAAAAGAGCCAGTGGGATGCAACATGAGGACTTCCCAAGAGGTCACGCACCCTAATACTACTCTCGCCCAAGCTCGCTTAACTTCGGAGTTCTTATGGGATCCGGTGTAGGTGAGTTGGTATGATCGCATCCGTTAGTCTATGACTTGTAATTGTACATAATCGTTTCTTTGGCCATGACCCCGTAACCTTTATGCATGTGCAAATCACATCGGCTTCGAACGTTCGCACAAAATTCAAAAATATTAATCAAGACCATCCTTCGAAATTAAAAAAAAAAATTGAATTAATTGTTTTTCTCATCTATTTCTTTCATCTCCCACGGAATATTAATGAAGATGATCCCTCGGAATTTCAAAAATAGAATTAATAGTCTTTCCCATTCCTTTCTTTCATCTTCTAAGCACGAGACTCGGTTCTGAACGACACGCACCACAAATAAGCAACTAAAAATACGCAACAAAGAATTATGAAGAAAAAAAAAAAAAAAAAGAGCCTGAGGGGATGCAACATGAGGACTTCCTAGGAGATCACCCATCCTAGTACTACTCTCACCCAGCGCTCCTAGTACAAGTTTCCAGTACGATAGGAAAATATCGCCATGGAAGATAGGAAAATATCGCCTAGGAAAATATCGCATACGCTCCTAGTACAAGTTTCTTGTATATGTGGAGATTTTTGTGATGTATGGTGATTATCGATTGATGTGACAAGTCAACTCGCTTTCTATTGGTTCAAAAGGACAACATTTTCACGTCTTGGTGCTGGAAGGTATTCTAGTTAACCTTGGGTATGTGTCTACCCTACTATTGCCTTGAAGCGGAAGCACTATCTAGAAGAACTGTAGACGTTGGAAGTGCAGTCGTGACCATTAATTACTCAATCACCCAGCAAACGCGCTGGTTGAATGAATCTTTACCGTGGTGATTGAGTAACTCGAAAACTACTTGTTGTAGTTGATGCTATACATCCAATCCAGTTAGCTTGTTCTCTAGATTTGATGGACTTGCTTTGATCCTCAAATTCTCGAGTATTCTTCTAGCCTTCTCAATGTAGTTACTTTCTCACTAAGTTCGAGAGAATTCACTATGAATTTGCTTGCTAAGGCGCTGCAGACTACGTTGGCTCGACTACATGACAGATATGTCACTATTATATCTTATCGGGATACATGTTTTATTTCCAAGTGTTTGGGAAGCCTTCTTGAAGGTCACGTGTAGTAAATTGTAGTTGACTATATATTTCCCTCAAACTAACAACCAGTCTGAACTAACTATCTAAACTTTCTTGGTGTGTTATGTTTTTTTGCTTTATAGTTGTAGCATGATCGTATTAGATACTTATCTTCGCTAGAAATGCTTGTAACTACAGTTACAAAATTGTTGGTCTTTGTTGTGACACTCTGGAGATTTGGAATGGAGATTCTTTGCTTAGCACTTGCTTGACTAAGGAGTTTTATGAACAACTGTTCAATTATGAGGGTGCACATTATAGAAATGTTATCTTATTGTTGTTGTTACCTAAGACCAACTCCAATGGTGGACTAAAAGCCAAATTACCTCCCAAAATTTCCCCCCAAACCCAATCCAACCGAAGGGGAAAATTTGGGCTAAATGCTAAATGCTAAAGCAAGGCCAAATTCCCCCCAAAATTTAGCCCAGACATTGGAGTGGACTCCACCCAATATTTATCGGAATTTAAATTTTTTAGATTAAAATGTTCATAAAATTAATTTAGACCAACTCCAATGGTGGGCTAAAAGCCAAATTACCCTCCAAAATTTCCCTCCAAACCCAATAAAACCCAAGGGGAAATTTGGGCTAAATGCTAAATGCTAAATGCTAAACCAAGGCCAAATTCCCCCCAAAATTTAGCTCATAAATTGAAGTGGACTCCACTCAATATTTATCGGAATTTAAATTTTTTTAGATTAAAATGTTCATAAAATTAATTTACAATAGTCTACATATTTATTTTTTTTTAAATTTAATTTAACAAAAAAAAATAGCCTAAGTTCATTCTTTAATAATTCCCGGCTAAAATTTTAGGCTAGAACGGTTGGAGCAGAAAAGTTGTTTCTGGGCTAAAAGCTAAATTTTTCGGGCTAAAATATTTGGTTTTTAGCCCAACCATTGGAGATGGTTTGACGATAGTCTACATATTTATTTTTTTAAAATTTAATTTAACAAAAAAAATAGCCTAAGTTCATTCTTTAATAATCCCGAGCTAAAATTTTAGGCTAGAATGGTTGGAGCAGAAAAGCTGTTTCTAGGCTAAAAGCTAAATTTTCCGAGCTAAAATATTTGGCTTTTAGCCCAACATTGGAAATGGTCTAAGGAGGGGTAAGTGTAAGAGGGGTAAGTGCGTGAGCATGGTAGAGACTTTATCCGATATTGTTTGTGTATTTCCCAATGAGCGGCATGATGGTAATATTGCACCCTTGGAAATTTGTTACTTGCTTATCATGACAACAGTGAGCTGTCGATATCGCGGGCTGCAGACTGTAATATCAAGGACTTATTTGTTGGATTAGTTAACCAAGTAAATAGGTTGATTCTTTTATGTTAGTGCTTACTTAGAACTTATGTGTTTGTTGTATTTTACCTATTTATTACTTGGGCTCGACCCAAGGATATTATGTACTTACTTTCGGAGTACGCAACACTCAGGAACGTAGTTGAAAATGTTATTTTCAATTTTAAGTATCAGTACAACTACTCTAACCTTATGTTGCTAATTATATGTATTTTTGACTTGATGTTAGTACATATAAATATTTTTTACTCTTTGTTTTTGAGAAAACTATTATATTATAGTATTGTACCGGAGAAGAAAGAGAGTATCGATTGGAGGCATGAACAAGAATAATGCACTATGAATCGTGACGGAGCGGCATTTTCCCTTTTTGTACAACCACTCTGACTTGATTTCTTTGTTAGTACATATATTTTTTTCTTCCCTATTTTTGAGTTTTGTGTATCAAATGATTTTAAATTTATGGGACGAAATTTTCTTAAGGGGGTAGATTGTAACAACTCGTCCATAATTTTACGTTTTTATTAATTTTAAAAGCGTAAATTTACGAAAATACCCTAGAGGCAAGGACTTTGACTTCCGTTGACCATCATCTAGAGGGGCGTAAGACTTATCCTTTTAGCATATCTGCATAGTACTTGTTGGTACGAACGCACAGACGAAAGCTGTTTGTGAGTCCGGATTATAACGGTATAGTTACAGACGTTTGAAATTGGTTATTCAAAGTTTAGTTTTAATTAAATTAAATTCCCACCTTGTGGGATGAGGCCCAATCAACCTTCAGATTAGGGAATGGTGGACCAATTAAATTAAAGGGACAAGGAACCAATTAGAAGAGAGGTAGAGGGCAGCAGCCAATCAGGAAAAAGAGGGATTTCTCCCTCCATTCTCATCAGCCTTTCAACTCGTGCAACCCAGTTCAACCTCCCATTTTCCAAGGTCGATTTTGGCCAACTCCGGTGGAGTTTTTCGACGCCACCACCACCATATTGAAGCTCTCATTCCCCTCTACAAAACCCACCCAAGAACCACCTTGATTGACCACGGTATATGGCAGTTTGAGGCCACGAAAGTCGACGAAAATCAACAGTGCTCCACCCACTCTTTTCAATGTTCCAGCGAATTGGCAAAACGATGGCCGATGCCACCACTTGGGCTTTGTAGCCCATCATCCCTGGAGCAAATCCCAACCAACCTTAACCTCGTTGGACCATCGTAGACGATGAATTGATGCGGGGAAGCTTTAGGCACCCGCCGGCCTTATGGGCAAAATTGATCATCTTCCGTCCACTTTTAGACTTCGTGTAGGTATGAAAGTTGTTCTTCTCATTGAAATCTTCATTCCTGTGAAATTTGTGAATTTTTAGAAATAGTGGAATTTTTCCGGGGATCCGGCGTGTGGTAGCAGCGTGGGCTGAGAGCCCACCTGACCATCTTAGGCTAATTTGGATGCTCCAATTCTATATTTGACATCCGTTTAGTGAAATTACGATGTTTTAATGTAGTTTTGTAGTTAACCACCTAGTTGGCTGTTATGGGGTCCTTGCATGAATTGGCGATCCGACCATTGGATCGTCACCAAATCTTAGTACCTTATAGTACGTAATATTTGAGGACCATAGGAACTTACAGATCAGAAATTCGAGGTATAGATCTTACGAATCAAATTAAGTAGGGTTGTGGACCCACCACCGACCTTTGACCGACGGTTTACTTTTAGTTAATGGGTTTCAAATCATTCTAGAACGTCCTTAGGGATGTGTTTTACGTGAGTTGCGTCTTCTATCGATATGAATTCTGAGACATAATTTGATAATTGTTCTAGTAAACGATCGTTCGTGATGCCTTGATATTTTGTGCTATGGAGTTGTAGTGCGGACTCAAGGTGAGTGGGCTGTTTATTTCTATATATATATATATATATATGGCTTATAGTTTCCATAAAATGTATTTAAATGATTTATCCCTTTTATGCCAATTTTAGTTTAATTTGGTAAATGTTCTTTGTGCTTGGAATTATAAAATGGTTATGGCATGTTCATACGTATATTTACCTGCTTATAATTATGGTACTGTGGTAGAATACTAAAATGATTCTATAGAACGCGCATGTAAATTCAGGTGAGTTTAGTATTGATTTGAATTGTGTAGCATACATATATTCATATAATTAGGCTCATCATTACTACACCCAGGTGTTAGTGCTTCCGCTCGGGGCTAGGGCCAACCTTCACGTGTATATTCACCTCCCGCACCGTATGCTCTTCTTAGATCCAAGTTAGGTGCTAGCCTTTTGTACAACTCACATTAGGTGACTCCGACTTGTAGGTGATTGCACTTAGCGCAAGCTTCATATGATTGTAACGTTAGAGAGTATATTATTATTACGTGTCGCATTAGATGACTCCGACTTGTGTGATAATATAGATTGATGAGCCATAGATGCAGTTGTACAGGTTACGTTAAGTGACTTCGTCTCACGTGCTAGTATATTGTCAAGCACATGTCTATATTTCCATTATTGTTGAATTATTCCTGTTGTGACATATTTATGATATATATTGTTGGCATACATTAAATCTTCATACTTATACATAGTATGATTTTTTTAAGGAAACTATACTTGTTTTACGACGAGGGGTTAATATAATAAAAAATAAAGGTTTTCTTTCAAATGTTGTTTTGCTGACCCACACAACTTTGTTTTTTGCCCCTCCAGGTTTAGTAGATGGGCTTATGTGTAAACGAGGGTTATGGAAAATCTCAGGAGATGGTTATTTTTAGTGTTATAACCCTCACCCTAATTAGATGTATGTTCTTATGCTCTACCATTACGTGTGAAATGGGTGCAATTCTGCTCACTCGCGTACTCTTTTGTTTAGACACTTTTAGGTTTAAATTTATTCATATTCTTTTTTCACTACACTACACTTTATGACCGCATCATCCTCCAGGTGTTGGCCAGCACAACTCGATTTTGGAGTCAAAGTGGACTTTTCAAGTCAAGGTGTGTCAATTATGCTTTCTAATTCTTTGGGTCAAATTATGTTTTTAATTTTAATTATTTATTGATTTAAATATTTTCTTTAACGAGTAACGAATTGGTTCATACTACCTGCTAATATTATCGAGTCGATTTCAGGTTGAGTCATATTACCTGTTTACTTTAATGGGTGTTATACAACACGAACTGTTAAGATATCGAGTATGTCACGAAAAAACACGAACATGAAAAACACAAAACGAATGTTAAGTCTATACACACAAGGAAGCCCAATAACATGCAACCCACAAAAACAACATATGGACTCTCAAAACAGCAACAAAGAGGGAGCCCAGAATAGAGAAACACACACAAAAAAAACCCTAGCAGCCCGACTCCACCCGACCGCCAAATAACTTGGCGTCAACCACGAGCCAACCCTCCTGCATGCGCCAGAGATGAAACCAAACCAAGCCACAAAAGTCAAAAAGGAGTAGATACCGTCGTCCTCCATCAAACACCACACGGATCGAAACTGCAACCACCAAGAGAAAGAACCGATGGGAAAATATATCCCATAGGCAATAACGCCGAGATTGACAGACATAGGTGGTGATGTGAACACCCGAGTCGAAATTAGACTCAGAACTTTACACACCCTACAGTCAAGCCACGAAACACGGCACTAGGAAAAGATTGCAGATCGAAACAATTGCAGGAATCGAGAAAGGGCGATACCAAATGGTAGTAAAATTGTTAGACCCAAGAAAATTTGCTATAGAATTGCTAGTAAAATTGAATGATAAGAAATTTTAGATACAAATATAAGTTCATGTGTTTTCCTAGTTCAAAAGAACGCCTAATTAGATTAATAGTCTCGTGGTGATAGGGTAGTTGGAAGATAGCTCATGTGGTTAAAAATTAGGTTTTTAAACCCTTATAGTAAAGTCTGTTAGAATTTATACTTAAAATTGAAAATTTCGTCAATTTTCTGTTAATTATTAGAAAAAAGTTGATGAAATTTTTAAATTTGAACATAAATCTTAACAAACTTTACTACAGAGGCTTAACTTCTAATTTTTGTTATCATATGAGCTATTTTCCAACTACTCTATCATTACGGGAACTATTAATCTAATTAAGCCTTCAAAACAAATAGTGTCATCTCTTCTGAAAAACAATTGTTTTTGCACCGAGTTTTTTATGATAAAAAAAAAGGAAAAAAGGGAAAAAAAGAAAGGAAAACGGCCTGTGGTTTATGAAACAAAGACAATCCGGCGCCGTATAAAGAAGGCTATATACACGTGAAGAGGGATGGCTCGCCCGTGGATTTGTGGAAGATGCTTCAAGCTTGTAAGCCACTGAGTCTGAACATTCTTGCGAAGACACTCCGCCTTTCCTCTTCTTCTCCCACTCGCCGTCCAACCCAATCCTTCTCCTGCAAAATGTCGTCCGACTCGCCGCCCTTAACTCACTCCATCACTCTCCCGGGTCAACTCGCCGAACCCGTCCAGATCGTTGCCGCCCCCAACATCTCCCCTTCCGAGTTCAGGCGAGTCACACCTTTCATTTCACTTTGTATTTGCAGATGTAGTCACAATTTCGATTGTAATTAAAACCCAATTACAATGCTAAGTAAGCTGTAATAGAAATGTTAATTTAAAACCAATTACAATTTTGAATCTTTGATTGTAATTAAAACCCAATTGCGATCCTAATTAATTATGCAAAAATGTGAAATTTGCAGGAGCGCCATCGATTCGTCTTTGTTCAAACAGTGGCTGAAGAACATGGAAAGTGAAAGTGGGGTTTTAAGTGGCGGCGGCTTGTTTCTTAAACGAGTTTTAATTCAGGTAATTCAAATTGAAAGTTCAATCCTTTGTATTAGCAACGGTTGTTTTAGTGGTCGCTAATTCTGAGGTGGTTAATTTTTTTGGGCAACAGGGTGTTGATTTGTTCGGAAATCGAATTGGGTTTTTGAAATTTGTAGCAGATGTGATTGATAAAGAAACTGGGAAAAAGGTATCTAATGATAATGTCCTTGTTTTTCGGTTTTCATTGGTGCCCGGAATTTTCCGTTTTGATTCTGTTGCTACATTGTGAAGTAAAACTTGCTTAGGTTCCAGGTATTGTGTTTGCAAGAGGACCGGCTGTGGCCGTGCTAATCCTTTTGGACTCAGAGGGCAAGACCTATGCTGTTCTTACTGAACAGGTAGGTCCTGACATAGGTGTTTTGCGTAGTTTTGGTGTTGCATATGTACATGTCCGTAAATTATTGAATTAGGATATGGCGGTGTGTACTTCTCAGTTCTCATGTATTCAAACCCTGTCAAACTTCATTCTTGTCTCCAAGGTTAGAATCCCGGTTGGAAGGATCATATTGGAATTGCCTGCTGGAATGTTAGATGATGACAAGGGTGATTTTCTCGGCACTGCAATCCGTGAGGTATCTCTCCCTTTTTTCACAAATATAATATGATGTACAATGTCTGAGTCCATGTATGTCTATCTCTTTCTTTTTCCTAAGGACACGAAATCACCTGGAAATTGATTTAGCTTACTTGCAAACCACAAGCCTGTAGTTTTGGTTTATACTTCAGCTAGTCACCGTATTTTTGCTACATGGATTCATTGCTTTGCTTTTATCTCAGCTCCATAAAGAGTAGCTTGCTTGGTAATTGTTCTGTTACTTTCTGTAGAATATTTGGTACGCTTTTATCCCCATTACAGGACCTAGTTTCAAATTACTTACCCTGATATTTCCAAGGTTCTCCGAGATATAGTTGACATTCATTTCTTTTCATATCTTTGACTGGCATACATGTCTGTGCTATGCATATTGCTGGTGACCAATATGCGTATTGGTTGCTTATTTGTCCTTTTATTATTTCTGTCAGGCCTGAAAATATTCCTCGTAACGTTTTATGAAATTTTCTTTGGTTTATGTTACTGCTTTTGTTCTGTTCAACTATATTGTGCTCTCACTCTTTCTACTGCAAGTTTTACAGCCGTGCCCAAACTCGAGATGCATGACTTTTATCTTTATACTTTTGGCAGGTTGAAGAGGAGACTGGTATATGCCTAAAACAAAAAGATTTGGTGGACCTCACAGCCTTCCTCGACGAATCTACTGGACGCAGAATTTTTCCTTCACCAGTAAGTTGGTGTTAATTCTTTCCTGTAGCCAAAATGCCAAAATGGAGCTTAAAATGTGGGTGGTCTCCCATTCGCTGATTTAAAATTGGAAATCACGGACTAGTTAAAATAAAATTACAACTCCCCTGGTCATTGTATTATCGCAAAGTTCGCCTTTTAGGAAGTTGAGTAGAAGGCTCCCAACCAAGGAAACTCTCTTTTCTTCCCGGCTGCCAGATAAAGCTCACTAATTTTCTATTTTTTCTTGCATAGGGAGGGTGCGATGAAGAAATAAGCCTATTTTTGTACAGAGGGCCGGTGGATAAAGGGATTATTGAGCAGCTGCAAGGGAAAGAAACAGGTCTTCGTGAACATGGCGAGCTGATTAAGCTCTGCGTGGTTCCGTATGAAAAGCTCTGGTGCACAACGGCTGATGCAAAGGTTTTAGCAGCCCTTACGCTTTATGAAATGGCCAAAAGAGAAGGGCTCTTGCCTCCGCCAAAAGCCTGAACTGCTAATCGTAACCACTATACCCTATGTTTGGTCCTCTTGAGTGCCCAGTTTGTTTTAGATCCCGACTGGATTCCTTTTATCTGCCATGTAAAGAGTGCTTCCAATTTTTACAATTTCAGTAAATTTGAGAAGAAAATAAAGAGATTGCATCCATCTCATGGTTATGGCTTTTAGGGGTTGCGCCGGGACAAGGAATTTCGGAATGAGTCAAATTTTGGCTAGGGTGTGATCATTGGAGGTGTCCACATTGGAGTTTTGGGCACCGGCGTTTGCCGGATCATGCTTTGTTTAGGGACGGCTGCTAGAATAGCGCCTTATGCTCACTAGTCGATTTACCAAGTCTGCTCTCTTGATGAATTATTGAATCGGAAGTCCTTGTAGGGTTTGATGCCGCAGTTGAGGATGGTGACGATGTGATTTCCGTCTCCATGGCTTCTCCAGATAGGATGCTGCAGGGTGCGGCGATGATAGAAATTGGTCTCTATATGATGAAACAATGTGTGCGTTCTGACACCGGAGAATGATCTTATGAAGTATAATACGAGCAAATACAATGACTCTTCGTGTACAAGGTGCCTAAGAAGGTCCAAATCTATCTAAAAGCAAATACGATAACTCTTATGGTTGTACAAAGTACCTAAGAATTTAACTATACTATAACTTCAAGTATGTTTTGTTGTCGATATCAGACCTCGCCGGCGACAAAGTTGTTGCCAGTTGATTCCCATATGGTGGTTCCATCGCAAGTGCAAAGCTTTTTGTAGTTCTCCCCGACTCCAGCACTTCTAGCAATCACAGCAGCCGCGATACCAGAGTCCAATTTATCAGCAGTTTCATATATCGCTATTGACCGCCCAATAAGATCCGCAACTCTCAGCTTCTCTTTGACCCCAGAGAAGAAGGCATTACCACTCTCATCACTTACCAGTGTTCCCAGGTCACCAAGCGGCTGAAAATCATTAAGCATAAAAACGACTTAGAGAATGCCATTCAAAGTCACTGAACGACAAGCCAGTACTATAAAACTAAGCAGAAATTACATGAAATGAAAAACAAGATTATTACCGGTGGCCAAAAATCCAACAGAAGATTAATCTAAGAGGTTGAAGGATACAGGGGAATGCGATAATTGGAAGGTTTAGAAGAGCATATTATAACAAGTTTGCAACAGATACAGATGGGCAAGCAGACAGCTGTAAAGGGTATACTATGACATTAAAATTTGTAATCAGTAATGAAAACCGTGAAAACTGCAAATACAGGCATCGTACCACTCGATAAATCTTTAAACGTGTGTTGGGAAATATGTACAGTTGTGCAAATTTCTCCAAGAGCAATTAATCGACGCGCAGCAGCGAATACAACTATAGTCCTAATTTCTGATCATATTGGTTTTTCCATTTGTGCCTCAAATAGAATAACGAAAACTCTACACCATTGATATAAATTTTACTAGAAAGAGTGTTCCTAACAGGTTACTAGGAAATTTATCAAAAGTCTAAACCACCATAGATATCAGAGGAAGAAGCGAACCTCCTTTGCTTCATTTGATGGCTTAAATACTTTTCCAGTGCTTGCAGCACCTTCCGTTAGATCACCAAATTCGTTGATCGACCAACCATGTTTTCCAGGTGTTAATCCACTAAAGTTGGCCTCAATCCTAGCCAATTCCATATTCACCTGAGCAAAACGAACCACACCAAAAATAATTGGACCCTTGAACTCAGAAACAGCAGCAGAAACCAAGAAATCTGTAAGCCATTAAAAAAAACAGGAACTATGTCAGCAACATATACTTTCATAAAACTCCAATATATTGAGCTATGAACCAAAATATGAATATAACATAAACGGAATTCTTCTGCATAAGAAATAGGATTTAGATCATTGAACCGCTAAAAGCTTAAACTCAGGTAAATTACAGCCTTTCTATATGTAACAAGAAAGACGTGGATATGTTAACTGTCCAGTTTCAATTGTTCAACTCAAAAAATTTTTACAAACAGCATTTTATCCACCAACCATACTCAAATTACAGCCCCTTTCGTTCACTTTGACTCAGTTATACTTGCCTTAATAATTGGATGAAAAACAATTATTCTTGTTTGAACAAGAATATATTCTATCTACGTCCTAGCGTTGTGCAACAAGAAATAATGACAACAAAGGAGTCACTAGACATGGATAGATATCAGCAAAAAATTGAGGGAAAGAACCCCAACATTGCATTCATCGAAAGAGAAAGGAAAAAAGATATAACCTTCAGGAATCCCCTGCCCAATTAATCTTGCTTTTCGACCAGTTTGCTCCAAAGCTTCAGTCATGGTCTTCAAAGGCGTTGAACCCAGAACCCTGACGACTTGACTGTTGAGGTCTACCTCTACACTTTTTACTCCTAGAGGAAACCAATTGAATAACAACATCAGAATACCAAACTGCCAAATACATGATTAAAAAAAAACAAAATTTCCCATTGTAATGCAGTAGCTCAGAAAAATAAAAAAAAAAAAACAAAAACAAAATTTCCCACTGTAATGCAGTAGCTCAGAAAAACTTACCATCCACAGTTTCTAACTTGTTCTTTACAGACTTGACACATCCATCACATTTCATATCCACCATGTACTCCGTCTATATACCAAATCAAAACCGAAAATTTAACTCTTCAGCGAAATCCAAAAAAAATCCTAATTTGTATTACTAAAAATGATTTACATCTGTAATTTTTCCTAACCAATACTTCAAATCATTGAAACATCTAGAAAATAAATAATTTAGATCAAAAGAAAATAAAATTCTGAAGACCGAACTTACCAGTAGCTCCGGCAAAGCGCCATCACTCTGCAATTCAAACCAAAAAAAAAAAAAAAAAAAAACCGTTTCTGTATTCAGCTTAAACCGATCAAACAAACGGAACCCATTGAAGAATCAGATTGTAACCCACTAATTATTTTTGAAAAGGGATTACAACCCATTAATAAAAAATCAAACAACAAAGTTGATGAATTTCAGCGAACCTGAAAGGATTGCTTTTGCTCCGATGTGGGCGCGTCCATCTGGATAGCCGAGGGGGAGTGGGCGAAGCTTGTAGCGAGGAACGGAGGATTTGGGTTCCGCAGAGAAGGCGCGGAGGAGAGAAAGGAGAGGTTTTGGGGTTTTGGGAATCGATACGATACAGAGGAGGAAGAAGAAGAGAAGGAAGAAAGGGCAACGGCCGCAGGAAATGCAGAGGCAGCAGCTATGACAGCAGTCGTGCCACTGACCTCAGAAATGCCATATTATTTCGTATTTTTGCATTTGGGTTTTGGGATTTGGATTTCTATTCAATTTGTTTACATCATCAATCTCAAATTGGCTGCTTGTTTTGTTGTTGATTGATTTATTTACGAGACATTTTGATATAGACGTCTTATGTTTTAAATTTTATAGACTAAACTATTTATTCTTTTTACAAATTTAATTAAACATTTTTCTACAATTTTGATATTTTAATTTTATTTCATTAGAAGTTTATTCACATTAACATTCCTTTTTTTTTTTTCCTCTTATTTTTATGCATTTCTTGTTATGATGATTTAAGATTTTTTTTATTTTTTATTAAAATATTTATGTTAGTAAATTAAATAGAATGTAACAAACTCATTGTTAGGTACGTTTGGTTATATCATTACGTTTGATTATAATTGTACATTTAGTTACTTGGAACATTTGAATTTTGGTCAATTTAGGTCCTTGGTACATTTGAATTTTGGTACGTTTGTTTTCAAAACATATGTTTTATTACTTTTGGTCCTAATAACCAGGAATTACTTTAATTAATTATTTTTTTTTTTTTATAGAAAGAGTCGTTTACAATGCAAAAGTTTAAATTACTATAATTATTTTTTTTATAGAAAGAGTCATTAATCAACGGACAATTAAAAATTATATGATTTATCGTTATTATTTAACATTATTTACAATAATAAGGATTTATCTCCTGATCAACTAAAACTTGTTCTTATCTAACAAAAAACAAGACTATCTAGCGCATTGTTGTGACAGCCCGTCCCGAATTATTTGTAACATTAGTGTGAAAATATGATTTTGCCCCTAGACGTTAATTTGCGTTGTAGGATGTTTGATTTGTTTTTGGTTGGTGGGCTGCCATTTGGACCACACACCACACACACACACCCATCCTTTTCTCCTGTGACTCTCTCTCTTTTCTCTCTTTCTCGAATTTCTTCCATTCCTTTGCAAGTGTACGGACAAACTTCGAAGCCAACTTTCCATGCATGGATCGAAGGTTTGAAGGTTGGTTTTGGACTCCTAGCAAACCCAAGAACTCATCCATACCATTTTTAGAACTTGAAACCCTCGAAAACCCGAGAACCTGTTTTCATGCACTGTTCATGCACTTGTGATCACAGAGGTTTCATCGAGTTTTGAGGTTATAGGGAGCTTTAAAACCATTTCATGAAGCCCGGAGATCAAGTTTGAAGGATTTTGGACGTCGGGATAGCGAGTTCTAAGGTTGGCTGGATTTTGTGGAATTTCTCCGGCGTGATTCCGGCGTTTTTGGTGCTTCAAAATGGTATAAACTTCTTGTCCTTGTCTTAGGCTTCATTTTGGTACAAATTTCATGGATTTTGGTTGAGAAATGAAGAAGATATTGAAGTTTGAAGTTTTTCCAAAAATAGGCGAAAATTCGAGTTGCAGACGACGGCGCTGACGGCAGCGGACGACGGCGACCAGCGAGGCTCACCGGAGAAAGAGGTGAATATTTGTCAGAGTTAACGGAATATTCTAACGGCATCAGGTAACAGCCATTAACTTCTATTAGGGTTTTAACGGAATATTCCTAACGACCGTTAAGAATCAGTTAAGGTTAGCCGCACGTGGCTGACAAGTGGATGGCCAGAAAATTTTTCTAAAAATATAGGGATGTTCGTGAGGTTGAGTAGATCATTTTGGTATATTCAAACACCCTAGTTGAGCAATGTATGAGAAGTTATTACCTAAGGTTGGATATGTGCGTTAATTGATGGTTTTATAGTTGTTTCGCATATAGGTGAGGATTATCCGGAGGACGAGCGCAGCCACGCGAGGCTCGAGGCTTACGACCCTTCTACGTATTAGTCAGTGGGATTTTGTTTTCAGTATATATATATATATATATAATGATTGGTATCTTTCCAGAAATTACGTTTTAATGATTTTTATAATTGAAATGGTTTATAATTGAAATGCCATGTCGAATATCGTCTATATTATTATTATTGTGATTGTGTTGGTTATGCTTTGGTGCCGCAAACGCTCAGGTAAGTCAGGTAAGTATGTTGTTAGTGATAGATGTAGTGTTGATGAGATTGAGTTATAGCTTATATTCCTGCACCTCGGTGATTGTGCTCTGCCAAAGTAGGGCCTAGCCTTCACGTGATCGTTCACCTCCTGCACCGTATGCTCACCTTGGATCCAAGGCAGGTGCCAGCCTGTCGTACAGACCAATATAGGTGGTTCCGAGTCGTAGATGACTTGCGATACATCGCACAGCCTTCACGTGATCATAGCACTGAGCGTAATTAGATACACCAACCTGTCATACAGACCACTATAGGTGGTTTCGATTCGTGTGCAGGATAGTGGTTGAGGAGCTATAGATTCAGCTGTACAGGTCACTTTAGGTGACTCCGGTTGACGTGCTGATATTATCGGCGTATTATGATTTGTTTTATCTCAGCTGCTTGATGTTTATACTATTTGTTTAGATATTCTGACACGACATATTTTTGGCATGGCATATTTGAGCTTTGTCGTTTTTAGCATGATTTGAATACGAGTACGTATAATATTTTCTGGAAATTATACGGGTTTTACAGAGAGGGGTTATTACTTGATATTGAAATGATTTGAAAAACAAACTTTGTTTTTGCCCACTCACGTTTTCTGTTTTGTGCCCCTCCAGGGTTTACGTAGCGAAGACGTGGGTGACGAACGAGGCATCGAGACATTTCTGATAGAGCACCCTCTATGTAGGATTTTCTAGTTATCACCGGTGTAGTGTTTGTTTATTCTAGACTGCACCTAGGATACTTGAACTTCTACTTTGCATTTTTCCTTCTGTGTTTGTCACTAGCACTCACTGATCTTTTTATTGTAAATTATTTTGTTGACTTTATTTCCTCGTATTTTCATTCTTTTACTTCCGCATTGCGCATTTGGCTACGTCACCCTCATGTGTCGGCCAGCATGCCCTAAATTTTGGATCGGGGTGTGTCAGCTTGGTATCAGAGCCTAGGTTTGGCAGTCCTGCATTATTGTGAGTATTCTAATTATTTTTGGTGTTTTCTATCAGAAATATGCCGCCTCGTCGAGAACAACGTCGCTCAGCTGAGCCTAGTTTTCCCGATATAGCTCAGTTGGGGAAGCTATAGCTCATGCGATTTAGTTTACGCTTCGCCCTCCTCAGAGGACTCCTTTGGAGACCATGTATAATCTAAAGTTGGACAAGTTTGAGGGTCATGAAGGATATGAGGGAGCTGAGCGGTGGATTGAGCATATTGAAAAGACTTTTCTAGTGTTGCAAAGTCAAGAGAATCTTCCTTCTGAAAGGTGGGTAGAGACAACGTCATAGTTCTTAGGTAAAGAATTGGCATCCTGGTGGGGACAGGAGGTTCGTTATTTGACCCCAAAGGAAGCTGCTGACTGGGAAGTGTTTAAACGGTTGTTTCGGAAAAGATTTGTTCCTCCTGAGTATATTGATCGCAAGAAGCAAGAATTTACCGATTTGAAGCAGGGGAAGTTGACGGCGAATGAGTACTACATAAGATTCACTGATTTGTCCCATTATCATCTGGAAGTTGTTGCTAATTTGGTTGAGATGCTTCGTCGTTTCAAATTGGGTACTAAGAAGAAATGACGTTCTATGGCGACCACTACTCCTTGCGATTCTTATCAGGAGTTCTATGAGATTTTGTTGAGGATTGAGGATTCTGAGAATATGCCTAGTGAAAGTGAAGAAGAAGAGAAGGATCGTAATCAAAAGAAAGACGATAGAGGTAAAGGTCAAGCATCTCAGGGGCCCTGGAAGACTTAGAGCTTTAAAGGAAGCGGGGCTAGCTCTAGTTCGTCCAATGGAGGCATGAGTTCTACGGGCCAATGTAGAGGTGGTAGGTTTACCAGAGGCCAACATTTTCAGAGCCAGCGAGATGCTGGTGGTTCTGGTGATTCAAGAGCTCTGTTTTGTCAGAGATGTAACAGCCGGCACTTTGGGGAGTGTAGACAGGGCAGTCGAGGATGTTTTACTTGTGGACAGGTCTGACAGCGGGCAACAAATTGTCCATAGGGTTAACAGAGGCCCCGATCCCTTCTTTACCACCACCAGTTCCTAGTCAGCAAGCTTCACCGCCGAGAGGTTATGGTCAGATAGGTCGTGGGGGTACTTACCATTACCAGGGAGATGTTGCTCCTTATTTAGCGTCACCATACCCGTATCCTTAGGATCCGTATTATCCTAGTGGCTACTAGAGCGGATATCAGCAGTACCCTAGAGGGTATACCCCATATCCTTCTTATCCAGTCGACTAATCACAGTGGTATTCGGGAGTATAGCTCCAGCAAAGAAAGGTTGCTTCTAGTAGCGCAGGGTCATCAAGACAGGTTGGTCAGACTGGACAGGGCCGTAGTACACCTAGACGTAGTGGTCTGTCGAGTAGAGGTCGAGGTGGTCGGCTACAGCCTCAGGGCCATATTCGTAACCTCACAGTGCAGGATGCCTGATAGGAGCTTATTCATGCGACTTAATTAGCTTGTTCTCGTGCATTTATGTTGTGTTTACTTATCTATTTTAGTGTTTAAGGCCACTTTTGTGTATTTTCAGATTAAAAGGCCAAAGTGTGCAAGAAGATGCAAATTGGAGCCTTTTGGAGCGAAAGAGGAATGAATGAGTTGAAGACGTGAAGAAACGACGAATTCCTACGCCAACGATGAATTCCTACCAAAACGAGGAATCCTACTCAAATAAGGTTTCCTATTTTAGGAAAGTTAACCCTAAGTTTCCCATTTTGGTAACCTTTCCTAATCTTAAATTTGCCCATTAAGCCACTATCACCCATAATCCATACAACCTAATACTCCCATTATTCAACCATTAAGCCATTTAATCCATTATTCTACTCCCATTATTCATTCAATCCGCACCATCACCCTAATGATTCAGCCACCATAATTCCATTTTCTCCTTTGTGCCGTATCCACCATCACCAAAAACCCATTCATGCCATTTTATTATTCAGCCATTAACCTTATTCT